CATGTCAGGGCTGGTTGCAGTGAGCTGAGGTCGCACCACTGTACTCCAGCCTGGGTGACAGAGCAAGACTCCATCTCAAAAAAAAAGAAATTAAGAGGCAAGAATGTTTTGGTGATTCTGCTCTGGCGGGTTTGAGAAGGAGGCAGAACGATCTTTTCTGGAAGCAGTATCGGGGATTTGGTGTAGAGCTGAGAACTCCACATTGCCATAAATGGTGTGATCTTGCTCCAAACAGCTCCATTCACCCCCAGCCTTCATAAGCCTAACACTGGAATTTCCAACTGAAATAAACTTACGACTTTTCCGTCGGCTCCCTGGAGTAGGTCAGGGTTTTAGAGGGTATTTCATATTCTCTTTAGGAGGTGGTTTGAACTCTTGGGTCCTATTAAGAAAGCAGTACAACTTGTTATTACTAATAATATCTTAGTAGTGTTTCTATAATGCTTTATAACTTACAAAAGACTTTTTATTTGTATTCTTCTCGTTTTTCTCCTTGGTAACTATGAGATAGCTGTTGTTATTCCCACTTTACAGATGAGGAATCTGATGTTCTCCCATTGTTTTTTAGTTAGCGTTCTGAATATTTTTACCTTTTTAGGAGAACGGAGTGTTTCCCAGGCTGGTCCTGAACTCCTGGGCTCAAGTGATCTTTCCATCTCTGTCTCCCTAAGTGCTAGGATTACAGATGTGAGCCACCATGCCTGGCCAAGTTCTGAATCCTTAACAAGGCCCACGTTCTTGCCTGCCTGGCCCTGGTCTACCTCTCCAGACCCCTCTTATACCACTTTCCTGAGAGCTTTCTTTATTTCTGTTATCCTGAGTTTCTTTTTTTTTTCTGAGATGGAGTCTTTTTGATCTTGTCGCCCAGGCTGCAGTGCAGTGGCACGATCTTGGCTCACTGCAACCTCTGCCTCCTGGGTTCCAGCTATTCTCCTGCCTTAGCCTCCTGAGTAGCTGAGGCTACAGGCGTGCACCAGCACACCTGGCTAATTTTTGGGTATTTTTAGTAGAGCCAGGGTTTTGCCATTTTGGCCAGGCTGGTCTCGAATCCTGACAGGTAATCCATCTGCCTCGGTCTCCTAAAGTGTTGAGATTACAGGCATGAGCCACTGCACCTGGCTGAGTATCTTTTTTTTTTTTTTTTTTTTTTGAGACAGTCTCACTCAATCGCCCAAGCTGAAGTGCAGTTGCTAGATCACATCTCATGTAGCCTCAACTTCCTGGACTCAAGTAATCCTCCTTCCTCAGCCTCCCAAGTAGTTAGGACTATGGGCACATGCCACCACACCTAGCTAATTTTTTTTTTCTGTAGAGACTGGGTCTCACTATGTTACCCAGGTTGGTCTCGAACTCCTGGGCTTAAGTGATCCTCCCACCTCAGCTTCACAAAGTGCTGGGATCACAGATGTGAGCTACTGCACCCAGCCTCTCCTGGATTTCTTTTGCCTTTTTTTTTTTTTTTTTTTTTTTTTTTTTTTTTTTTGAGATGGAGTTTCTCTCTTGTCCAGGCTGCAGTGCAATGGCACAGTCTTGGCTCACTGCAACCTCCGCCTCCTGGGTACAAGCAATTCTCCTGCCTCAGCCTCCGGAGTAGCTGGGATTACAGGTGCCTGCCACCACACCCAGCTAATTTTTTTTTGTAATTTACTATTAGTAGAGATGGGGTTTCATAATGTTGGCCAGGCTGGTCTCAAACTCAGGACCTCAGGTCATCTGCCTGCCTTGGCCTCCCAAAGTGGTGGGATCACAGGCATTAGCCACCGTGCCCAGCCATCTTTTGCTTTCTTAAATAGGTCTGCTTCTTTCTAGCTACAGGCCCATTGCACATGCTGTTTCTTCTAATAAGTACACTTTTTCTTCCTCTTTGCCTGGCTGGCAACTACTCATCTTTCAGGTTTCAGTTCAACATTTCTTCCAGGGAGACTTTCCTGAACCTTCAGGCTACTTTGAACTGCCCGGTATAGCATACTAAACTTCCCACTCCGGAATTGGCACACTTAAAATTACTCATTCGGTATCTCTTATCCCTGCTAGATCGTAAGCTCCATTAGGGCAGAGACCAAGTCTACCTTATTTGATACTGTAGCCTCAATGCCTAGTATAATAAGCATTTCCTTTTGCACTAAAAGCTTTTGCAACTACTGTCTGCCGTCTGATTCCCACAGCCATTGAACAAATCCATCAGAACCTTGCCTTGAATACTGCACTCAGGTTTAATGCATTGGGGTTTTTCTGACAAGGTTCTTTGATAACCAGAGCCTTTGGATCAGTGGCCAAAATGCACACCTGTCACATCAAATAGCTTGTGAGGGTGGAGCACGGTGCCACTGTATTATTTGATAATGACTAGAAAAGGCTGGTCCTCTTCTCACCAGCCTTCTGTTGCTTCTATGATGCTCACATACCAATGAGACTCTTTGTCCAGCATCTTACTGGGGATAGCCAAGGGTGGATCCCAGAGAACAGGGACATTTAAAGCTACCTAGATTATTCCTGTCGCAGGTCTTTCCTGGGTTTAGTGCACACTTGGGTCATTTCTGGATGGATGGCACATTTGTTTTATTTGTTAAAAGCAGTGAGGTGTAGACCAAGTTAATGGGAGCAAACCTAGGAGTCAGGATGACAACACAGTTGCTCAGGCTGGCATGGCAGGCATCAGCAGGTAAGCAAGCCCCAGTGGGAGGAACATGTGGCCTCATTTCAACAGCAAGCTGAGGTCCGCACACATCGGGAATCTATGAGAAGAGCACCCTCATCCCCCCCGTTTTTTCTTTTTCTTTTTTTTTTTTTTTTTTTTGAGACGGAGTTTTGCTCTTGTTACCCAGGCTGGAGTGCAATGGCGTGATCTCGGCTCACTGCAACCTCCGCCTCCTGGGTTCAAGCAATTCTCCCGACTCAGCCTCCTGAGTAGCTGGGATTACAGGCACATGCCACCATGCCCAGCTAATTTTTTGTATTTTTAGTAGAGACGGGGTTTCACCATGTTGACCAGGATGGTCTCGATCTCTTGACCTCATGATCCACCCACCTCGGCCTCCCAAAGTGCTGGGATTACAGGCTTGAGCCACTGCGCCCGGCCCCCCCCCCTTTTTTCAAACCAGTCACATCTCACCAGAATCTTTGTGAAATTCATCATCATACAACTTCCTGAATCTAGTTAATGGTGATATTAACCAAAATTATAGCTTAACACCCAGGCAACAGTGTATAGGATTGCAAGTGTTAGTTCCAAATATAGTGCAGTTCACACCTCCAGTGAGGAAGGAACATTGAGTGGATTCATTACATGAGCCATTTAAACTAATTGAGCCAGCAGCTTAAAGCCACATTCTTCAAATGTGTGCACTCCACAAAACTGGCATTTAACATCAGGAAGTCAGGCTGGAAAACACTCATGAACCAATGGCTCGAAGCAAGAAACACTTCTCAAGGTATGCATTTGCCAGCTGTGACTGTTCACAAGTAGTCTTTGGTGATGAGCTTCATGACTTAGGGCACGGGTGAGCATGGCACATTTAGCTTCATACAGCAAAGACTGAAAACGGTGCTGGTTACATGGACAGACAAGTGAAGAAGGCATAGCTTATCTTCATTACTAAAAATACTCAAAATGCAGGCCAGGCGCGGTGGCTCAAGCCTCTAATCCCAGCACTTTGGGAGGCCGAGGCGGGTGGATCACGATGTCAAGAGATCAAGACCATCCTGGTCAACGAGGTGAAACCCCGTCTCTACTAAAAATACAAAAAATTAGCTGGGCATGGTGGCGCGTGCTTGTAGTCCCAGCTACTCGGGAGGCTGAGGCAGGAGAATTGCTCGAACCCAGAAGGCGGAGGTTGCGGTGAGCCGAGATCGTTCCATTGCACTCCAGCCTGGGTAACAAGTGCGAAACTCCATCTCAAAAAAAAAAAATGCTCAAAATGCATAAGAGTATAAAAACAGTCGGGTGCGGCGGCTCACGCCTGTAATCCCAATACTTTGGGGGCCGAGGTTGGGGGGGTCATCTGAGGTTAGGAGTTCAAGACCAGCCTGGCCAACATGGTGAAACCCCATCTCAGCTAAAAATACAAAAAATTAGCCGGGCATGGTGGTGTGTGCCTGTAATCGCAGCTAATTGGGAGGCTGAGGCAGGAGGTTGCAGTGAGCCAAGATCATACCATTGCACTCCAGCCTGAGCAACAAGAGTGAAACTCCATCTAAAACAAAAAGATGAGTTTGTAAGAAGAGAGTCATTTTTTTCCTTCAATTTTTGGAAAATGAATACAACATGTATTACGTTCATGAAAAATAACACATTAAATAAACAGGGGTTAGTGATACAGTGTTCTTTGATAAACAGTAATTTGTTAGGAGATTGGTAAAAATGTAACATTTTTTTTTTTTTTTTGAGACAGGATCTCACTCTGTTGCCCAGGCTGGAGTGCAGTAGTACAGAGTGCAACCTCTGCCTCCTGGGCTCAAGCAGTTCTCCTGCCTCAGCCTCCCTAGTAGTTGGGATTACAGGCATGCCCCACCATGCCTGGCTAATTTTTGTATTTTTAGTAGAGATGGGGTTTCACCATGTTGGCCAGGCTGGTCTCAAACTCAAGTGATCACCTGCCTCAGCCTCACAAAGTGCTGGGATTACAGGTATGAGCCACTTAACTTCTTAATTTTAAAACTATAAACTAATAAATATTAAGGAAGAAAATGTCCAGATTAGCACAAATAATGCAAGGTAATCAGTGCCATATTAAGAGTTGCCCAAAATTGCAGTGTAATGTAATACTCTGTAAAATTTGTCAAATTATGATGAAGATTAAAGTTGGTTAGAGTAGGGGTAAGGGGATGTCTCAGAGGACCACACTGGTACTGCCAATTAAACCATGGCAAGGATTATTTTTTTCTTCTGGTAGTCATCTTAATTGATGTATAGTATATCTGCTGTTAGCTGCTACAATCTCCCTGAGAAAGCACAGATCATGATAGTAAACTATGTTCATTCTCTGCTAATTCCTCCCCAGTGTTGGAAGCAGAGCTCAGTAGTGAAAGCTACAGCTGCCAGAGACTTGCAGTGGCGTCACACGAGCAGAGTTCTTTATAAATGGCAGTAACAGGCCAGGCGTGGTGGCTTAACGTCTGTAATCCCAACACTTTGGGAGGCCGAGGCGGGCAGATCACGAGGTCAGAAGATCAAGACTATCCTAGCTAATGCAGTGAAACCCCACCTCTACTAAAAATAAAAAAAAAATGAGTTCATGCCAGAGCCCCGCGAGGGAAACGTCTTAGTCGTGTCCGGCCGCTTTGCGGGACTCTGAGGAAAAGCTCATACCAGATGGACGCCGTTCTGTTCACTATGGGTAAAGGAGACCCCAACAAGCCGAGGGGCAAAATGTCCTCATACGCCTTCTTCGTGCATACCTGCTGGGAAGAGCACAATCAAAACACCCGGACTCTTCCGTCAATTTTGCAGAATTCTCCAAGAAGTGTTGGGAGAGATGGAAGACCATGTCTGCAAAGGAGAAGTCGAAGTTTGAAGATATGGCGAAAAGTGACAAAGCTCGCTATGATAGGGAGATGAAAAATTACGTCTCTCCCAAAGGTGATAAGAAAGGAAAGAAAAAGGATCCCAATGCTCCTAAAAGGCCACCATCTGCCTTCTTCCTGTTTTGCTCTGAACATTGCCCAAAGATCAAAAGTGAACATCCAGGCCTATCCACTGGGGATACTGCAAAGAAATTGGGTGAAATATGGTCTGAGCAGTCAGCCAAAGATAAACAACCATATGAACAGAAAGCAGCTAAGCTAAAGGAGAATTCTGAAAAGGATATTGCTGCATATCGTGCCAAGGGCAAAAGTGAAGCAGGAAAGAAAGGCCCTGGCAACAGGCTCAAAGAAGAAGAATGAATCAGAAAGGCCAACAGGCTCAAAGAAGAATGAACCAGAAGATGAGGAGGAGGAAGAAGATGAAGATGATGAGGAAGAGGAGAAGATGAAGAATAAATGGCTATCCTTTAATGATGAGTGTGGAGTGTGCTTGTGTGCTTAGGCAATTGTTTTGCTAAGAATGTGAATTCAAGTGCAGCTCAATATTAGCTTCAGTATAAAAATGTACAGATTTTTGTATAGCTGATAAGATTCTCTGTAGAGAAAATACTTTTTAAAAAATGCAGGTTGTAGCTTTTTGATGGGCTACTACATACAGTTAGATTTTACAGCTTCTGATGTTGAATGTTTCTAAATATTTAATGGTTTTTTAAATTTCTTGACTTGTGTATGGTAGCACAGCAAACTTGTAGGAATTAGTATCAGTAAATTTTTGGTTTTTTAGGATGTTGCCTTTTGTTTTTTAAGAAAAAAAATGTTGTAATAAAATTATGTATATTAAAAACATAAAAAATAAAAAATAAATTAGCTGGGCGTGGTGGCCGCATGTCTGTAGGCCCTACTGCTTGGGAGGCAGAGGCGGGAGAATCACTTGAACCTGGGAGGCAGAGGTTACAGTGAGCCGAGGTTGCACCACTGCACTCCAGCCTGATGAGAGAGTGAGACTGTGTCTCAAAAACAAAACAAAACAAAAAAGTAATAAATGGACTTAACAACTCACTTGACTTTCCTTCATCTGACATAGTCACCTATCAGAATGTTGGCTATCAAACTGGTAGAACAGCCAGTCCTCTGATTTGGTTTCCTAGAGAAGGCAGTTGTTGGCCCAATGTTTTGTCAACATTAAGGCTCTTATTCTTGCATTTGAAACCAAACACCTTAGTCACTTTGCTTGCATCAGGGTTGGCACAAGAAGGTATGGTCCTTCTTGGGTGGGTATTTTGCATTGTCACAAATAGTCTTATTTATAAAAAAACGAACTCTGAAATCCTAAAACTAGTATCTAGCAAAAGGAAGAGATTCAATTCTATCAGGCAATTTATTACTCAGTCAAGAATGATGCTAAGTATAGATTCAGCAGTATAAATATATTACCAAAAGCATGCTTTTATTCATTTTAAAATTAATTAGTATATATATTTTTTGAGACAGAGTCTTGCTCTGTACCCCAGGCTGGAGTGCAGTGGCGTGATCTCGGCTCACTGCAACCTCCACCTCTTGGGTCTGGGTTAAGCAACTCTCCTGCCTCAGCCTCCTGAGTAGTGGAGATTACAGGTGCTCACGACCATGCCCAGCTAATTGTATTTTTTTTAGTAGAGATGGAATTTTACCATGTTGGCCAGGCTGGTCTTGAACTCCTGACCTTGTGATCCACCCACCTCTGCCTCCCAAAGTGCTGGGATTACTGGTGTGAGCCACTGCTCCCAGCAATAATTTTTTTTTTAGAGGGAGTCTTGCTCTTTTGTCCAGGCTGGAGTGCAGTGGTGTGATCTCAGTTCACTGCAGCCTCTGCCTCCTGGGTTCAAGTGATTCTCTCACCTTAGCCTCCTGAGTAGCTGGGATTATAGGCACATACCACCACACTGGCTAATTTTTGTGTTTTTAGTAGAGATGGCGTTTCACCATGTTGGCTAGGCTGGTCTCAAACTCCTGACCTCAGGTAATCCACCTGCCTTGGCACGTGCTGGGATTACAGGTGCGAGCCACCTCGCCCAGCCCACTTGCTTTTATTTAATGACTTGCTAAAAAACAAAAACAAAAAATGTTAGCACTTACATGGGGCTTCATGACATCTTTCTAGTAATTCTGGTACCTTTTGGGCACCTATTTTTCCAAAATAGACTTTGGAGAATCTATTTAGAGCTATAGAACTCCTCTCAGTCCTCCCCAAATTGTACACAACAGATTTATTCCTTGCTCCCTAAAGCCTATCCTTAGAAATTGCAAGTTGAGAATTCACCCACCACTGCCCACTGTTCCAAAAGGCTTTACTGATTCTCAGTAATGAAAACTAATGTAGGGCCGGGTGCGGTGGCTCACGCCTGTAATCCCAGCACTTTGGGAGGCCGAGGCGGGTGGATCACGAGGTCAAGAGATCGAGACCATCCTGGTCAACAAGGCGAAACCCCGTCTCTACTAAAAATACAAAAAATTAGCTGGGCACGGTGGCACATGCCTGTAGTCTCAGCTACTCGGGAGGCTGAGGCAGGAGAATTGCCTGAACCCAGGAGGCGGAGGTTGCAGTGAGCCGAGATCGCACCATTGCACTCCAGTCTGGGTAACGAGTGAAACTCCGTCTCAAAAAGAAAATTAATGTAAAACTCTCCATAGGAGGCATTAACATATTTGTGTTTCTTCCAAACCTTCTGATTTCCACTAAAATTTGTAACCAAAATGTATTCGGAAAAAAAATCATTAAGCTTTTACGCTATTATCTGGCTCACTCTAACTGTATGATCTTTTAATTGTGGAAACATGGCAGTTCCCTGGAAGACCACAGCCTTTAGAGACTAGCAAGCCTGGCTTGATCACTAGTTCTGATAGTTATTTTGCTGTATTAATTTACCTAATTTTTCTGACTGTGCTTTCTCATCTGTAAAATGTATGCATAACATATGATAGGGAGGTTTTTTTTTTTTTGAAAAAATAGAGTCTTGCTCTGTCGCCCAGGCTGGAGTGCAGGGGCACGATCTCAGCTCACTGCAACCTCTGCCTCCCGGGTTCAAGCAATTTTCCTGCCTCAGCCTCCTGAGTACCTGGGACCACAGGCGCACACGACCATGCCCAACTAATTTCTTTTGTACTTTAGTAGAGACAGGGTTTCACTGTGTTGCCCAGGCTGGTCTCAAACTCCTGAGCTCAGGCAATCCGCCTGCCTCAGCCTCCCAAAGTGCTAGGATTACAGGCCTGAGCCACCATGCCCGGTTGATAGGGAGCTATTTGAAAGACAAAACATCTGACACAGAAAAGGCTGGATGAAAACCTTTAGAGACCCAAAGCAGCAGGGCTATTGTGCCAGATCGCTCAAGGTATTAGTAGGAAAGAGAACACACACACTCAAACTGAGTAATGTTTAGGGACTATTTATAAAGACATGGACAGAGTTCAGGGAAGCCAGCAAAGAATAATGGCGTACTCCAGGGATGGTGAGTGAGTCTCCCCCCGCCCCCCCCTTTTGAGATAAAGAGTCCTGCTCTGTTGTGCCACAATCTCAGCTCACTGCAGCCTCCGCCGCCTCCCAGGTTCAAGCAATAATCTGGCTTCAGCCTCCCAAGGAGATGGGATTACAGACATGCACCACTATGCCCAGCCAATTGTATTTTTAGTAGAGATGGGGTTTTGTCATGTTGACTAGGTTTATCTCGAACTCCTGACCTCAGGTGACCTGTCCACCTCAGCCTCCTGAAGTGCTGGGATTATAGATGTGAGTGACCCTGCCCAGCCTGAGTCTTCCTTTCTTTTTTGGAGACAGTTTTGCTCTTGTTGCCCAGGCTGGAGTGCAATGGCACATCTCAGCTTACTGCAACCTCTGCCTACCAGGTTCATGCGCTTCTCCTGCCTCAGCCTCCCGAGCAGCTGGGATTACAGGCATGAGCCACCATGACTGGCTAATTTTTGTATTTTGAGTAGAGATGGGGTTTCACCATGTTGGTCAGGCTGGTCTTGAACTCCTGACCTCAGGTGATCCACCGTTTTGGCTTCACAAAGTGTTGGGATTACAGGCATGGCCACTGCTCCTCGGCTCCAAGTCCTCCTTTCTGTCCTAGATGTGAAGGAGCAAAGAGGAACCAGAAGCTTGAGGGGGCTACTTGATGGGAGCTGTGGTCTTTGGTAAAGGGATATAGACAACCCATGTGACCTGGCAATGAGAAAGCCAGAATACTTTGACCATCTTTTCCCTCATATCTTTGGATATGACTAATTGGATAAACACAAGCTGAAGTTAGAGGGCAAATGAGCCATTCATGCAGCATGTGGGCAAGCACCTGCTGGAGTCCAGAGTGGATGAAGAGGGGTTCTGAAAGGGAAATGGAAGACATGCAGTATAACCTTTCCCCGAACTTAATTCAAACTACTTATTACACATAAAAATCACTTGTATGCCAAAACTAAAATAACCTGTTTCCAGAATTTGATTGCAAAATTCTGAGTTCTTCAATTAAAATTGCATTTTCAGGCCAGGCGCAGTGGCTCACGCCTGTAATCCCAGCACTTTGGGAGGCCGAGGTGGGTGAATCACGAGGTCAAGAGATCGATACCATCCTGGTCAACATGGTGAAACCCCGTCTCTGCTAGAAATACAAAAAATTAGCTGGGCATGGTGGTGCGTGCCTGTAATCCCAGCTACTCAGGAGGCCGAGGCAGAAGGATTGCCTGAACCCAGGAGGCGGAGGTTGCAGTGAGCCGAGATAGTGCCATTGCACTCCAGCCTGGGTAACAAGAGCTAAACTCCGTCTCAAAACAAAACTGCATTTTCCTCAGCCTTTTTGGTGCCCCTACTTCACTGGTGCCTTAAGCACATGTTTGGAGAGCTTAAGGGCAGCCCTGAGCATGGTGCCTGGACTAGGGGGCCTCAAAACACAGGACTGAGAAGTCTCAGGTTCATTGCTGAATGCTGACTGTGAGTCTCTGAGAGTTTTGAGAATCTAGAACTAATTTAGAATGAATCTCAGGATTTTTCTGTCAGTATCTATAAATTAGGACAGGAACTGGATTTTCTTTTTATTTATTTATTTATTTTTCTTCCCCCCCACCCCCAATTTTCTTGAATTTGAAAAATCCTATTATAGTATAACTTCACATAAGCCCACTGAATGATTGGAAAGTTTTTAGTTTCTTATCAGAGAATAAAATGAATCAGGACATCAATTTCACATTGACATTTTTATTAACGCCAACTGTTTTTTAATTTTTATTTTTTTTAAAACAATAGCACAAAAATGTTTCAAGGAAGCAGTCTCACAATCTGATGACCTTCTGAAATACAGTTAAGCCACACCAAATATGAATTTCTGTTAATAACACAAAAAAAATTTTTTTAAGAAAAAAAGTACAGGGAAAAAGGAGGGGAATGAGATTTAGGTTTAAAATTCACTGGACTGAATAGGTGAGGCTTGTTAGTAGGATATACTGTTGAAGCAAACAGTGGCGCACACACAGGCTTATAGTCTTTGTTTTTAAACCAGTTACCACTAATGCATAAGCCCTGCAGCAGTTACCACTGACTTCTCACATGCAGAAAATGAACCAGGAGAAGCCAGTGTTGATACTGTTATGAGGAGGTTCAATAATTGGCTTGTCAGACAACTAAGACCTTTTTTAGCAGAATAACTCCTTCAGAAAGGCCTGGCTGAAGATCTTTTTATTTCTATTGTCTCACCTATATGCATTTCAGGGTTCTTATAAGTCATCTTTAAAAAGAAAGAAAAAAACAATGTATATCAGTTTCTCTTATTTAATGTGGCTATGAAAGATGTTTCCTTATTATTTATCTCTAAGAAGGACACCGGGGGATGGGGGGAATGGGGGTTGGGGGTGGAACTAAAGGGAGGAAAAAAACCAGAACAGGGTAGGGTTTTTTAACTTTTTTTTTTTTTTTTTTTTTTTGCCAAGGGGTCACACAGAGGGAAGGCAAGGAGGAAAACTACAATCCTTGGTTCAGATTGAGTTATGCAGGAAAATATATCTTCCTGATTAGTCCCCATGCCAAAACAAACAAAAAAACAAAAACACTTGGAATTATGCACTGACTCCAACTATGTTATACCAGCTATTGGCCTTTTGAGTTTAACCATTCCCAGAAGTGGACACCACCCTTGGCTTGTAAGCTGTTTGCAGAACCCACTTCACAAAAATTCTCTTCACCAAGAAGCCTCTAGTTTCCTTTTGGTAAGTTATAAAAACAGAACATCTGTCATTAACAGGAGAGTGTTAAATACTTTTAACCACTGACAAGGCTTCAGAAAGTTTCACAGTTTCGTTATGCTCTATTTTATTACTATCATATTTACATTTTTTTATTTATTTTTTGCTGAATTGCTGATTTTCCTTTTTTAATAGAATTTAATTCTGGAGTGTGAGCAGGAACCAGTTAACTACATTCATTGTCCAACCCCCACTGGTTTGAAAGAAGACTCCAAATTCGTGGCATACAAATCAGCTGTTTGGTAGCTCCACCTTATCCCTGCAGCGAAGCAGCAGAACTGCAGCAGCGGCACCTCAGGATTCACACTGTGGGTGGTGAAGCCTTCCGCTGAAGGAGGTACTGGTGGATGCTCTCAGCATCTCGCTTTAGCCAAGCAGCATTCAGCAGGATATTTTCACAACACTGCTGGATGGTACGCTCAGCTGAAGGAGCTGGGTGACTCTCGAAGAAAGCCTGGGAAAACAACCCAAAATGCAGATCATTATTAGCAATAATAAGAAGTTTATATTACAGGTTATAAAAAAATACCCCACTGGTCTATATGAAGGATGCATAAGCTTCAGTAATGAGAATTTATCACTGCCACCCTCAGGCTAAAAGAAAACAAGCAACTCCTTGGACCTGCATAAAGAATTCTCCTCTTAGGCCAGGTGGAGTGGCTCAAGCCTGTAATCCCAGCACTTTGGGAGGCCGAGGCGGGTGGATCACGAGGTCAAGAGATCGAGACCATCCTGGTCAACATGGTGAAACCCCGTCTCTACTAAAAATACAAAAAAAATTAGCTGGGCATGGTGGTGCTTGCCAGCTACTCAGGAGGCTGAGGCAGGAGAACTGCCTGAACCCAGGAGGCGGAGGTTGCGGTGAGCTGAGATCGCGCCATTCATTGCACTCCAGCAATGGGTATCAAGAGTGAAACTCCGTCTCAAAAAAAAAAAAATAATTCCCCCCTTAAATATTATATGCTTAACAACCTCATCAAAAGTTAATAGTAAGGAGACAGAACCTACTGCTTTTCTTTTAGGCTAATTATGTAATGGTAAATACAGTCTTTGAACTGAAGACTTGGAACTTGAATAGAGGCTTGGTCATGTAGTAGCTTTTAACTGTGAGAAAATTAACTGCTCTAAGTCTCAGTTTTCTCATCTATTAGAAAATATTTACTCCAGCTGGGTGCGGTGGCTCACACCTGTAATCCCAGCACTTTGGGAGGCCGAGGCGGGTGGATCACGAGGTCAAGAGATTGATACCATCCTGGTCAACATGGTGAAACCCCGTCTCTACTAAAAATACAAAAAATTAGCTGGGCATGGTGGCGCGTGCCTGTAATCCCAGCTACTCAGGAGGCTGAGGCAGGAGAATTGCCTGAACCCAGGAGGCGGAGGTTGTGGTGAGCTGAGATCGCGCCATTGCACTCCAGCCTGGGTAACAAGCGCGAAACTCCGTCTCGAAAAAGAAAAGAAAATATTTACTCCAAAAGATTAAAGAGACAATCCATAAAACATTTGACAAAACACCTGGCACCGACTACTTAAGGACTCAACACATTTTGGCTGCTTCAAATAAAGATTAACTTTGTAAGGTATAATAATATGAGGAAGTTTAAATTGCTGCTGTGCCCTAATTTAACACCCCATAGTCTTGAGACATGGTCTCACTCTGTTGCCCGGGTTAGAGTAAAATGATGTGATCATGGCTCATCGCAGCCTGGGAGTGCACACCTGTCTAATTGTTTTTCCTTTTTGTAGAGATGAGGTCGTACCATGTTGCTCAAAATGTTCTTGAACTCCTGAGCTCAAGCAATCCTCCCGGAGGCTTGGCCTCCCAAAATGCTGGAATTACAGGACTCCAACATTTTTGATACCATAAAACAATTTCTAAGTTTATAATTTATCACAATGCTTAATGATTAAAAGTTGAATAAGCTTTTCTAATGGAGTATACCTGGTTTCACAGAAAACAAAGCAACTTTTAAACACTAACTGGCAAAATGATGGGACTTTTCCTGTGAATTAGTCACCACAGGTGTGAAAGACATAATGACTAATCCATCTGATTAACCCTAGACCTTTTAGAAATCAATCACCTTATTTACACAGATGACAATTGCTACTGTTCCAAGGCTCCCAATCATGGTTCAGTGCTCACGGCCTCAAGTCTCATGCCATTCCATCTCAGTAAGTAGTACCAACATTTACACACCAGAAACCTGGGGATTATCCTGACTCTTTTTTTCTTCCTCTCCCAGATATGCTCACAACAGAGAAGCCAATCAATAAATATTACTGAATTAATGGTTAACAAATTCAAGCTCCTGAGTCTCCTTCATTACTCTATCTCCCCCACTACCACCACTACCCTACTGTAAGCTGTTCCATCCTTCTTGCTGGGAGAGTTAGCTTCCCAACATCTTCTCTTCCCCATGCCAAACTATTCTCCACATTGCAGCCAGAATGAAATTTTAACATAAATCAGATCAAGTCACTGCCTTGTTTATAAACCAATAGAAGGCTTTCCATTTTAAGGAAATTCTTTTTTTTTTTTTTTTCTCTGAGATGAAGTCTTGCTCTGTCACCCAGTCAGGTGTGCAATGGTGCCATCTCGGCTCACTGCAACCTCCACCTCCCAGGTTGCAATTCTCCTGCCTCAGCCTCCTGAGTAGCTGGGGTTACAGGCACACACCACCACACCCAGCTAATTTTTGTATTTTTAGTAGAGACGGGGTTTCACCATGTTGCCCAGGCTGGTCTTGAATTCCTGACTTCAGGTGATCCATCTGCCTCAGCCTCCCAAAGTGCTGGGATTACAGGAGTGAGCCACTGCGCCCAGCCATTTTTAGGAAATTCTTAAGGCCTGTACAGCCTGCATGATGTCTTTCTCTAAGCAGAAACATGGAAATGCTACAGTACATTATCCCAACAGTATGATTATAATTATGTTATTGTTTTTACTTACTAGGTTGAAAAGTGAAGAGTAAACAGTATTTTCCTTACCTTAACCTCTCCAGCCATTTTATCAACTGCAAATCCCTCAACTGATAGCTGCAAAACAATGGTTTTAAATAGTAAGTGAAACTAAAAGATGCTGGGAACAAACTTCCATTCACCCTAAAAACAAATCATTCGGTTCTCTCCCAACTTCAGTTTGTGGCAAAGGATGTGTGATGGGAGATGGATAAGTCGTTTAATAAAGCCAGTAACTATTTAAGGAAACTTAAAGAGCAAAGACCTCAACGTGTGGGTGTAGTAAATCATGGATGTCACTGAATAATATCCATGACAGCAAGCTACTCAAAATTTTCCACATACCTTTATTAGTCTGGATATTAAGAATCCTCCCTGGTACCGGTTATAAAGTTCTTCCCAGTTGTCCTTTATGAATTTCCAAGCAGCTTTCCTTCCATGCTTGCTGCCTCCAGCTACTCCACCAATTACTGATACAGTGTCCTGTGGACGTACCTCTTCCTAAAAAAAGAAAGAAAACTAAAAGTCTAGTGTATGCAAAACATATTCTGGTACCAGAGAGTGCAACATACTGTTGAGATATCCAAGTAATCACACTGAAGACACTTATTCCTTATTTTAGGAAAAACTGGCACTAAAAGTTCTCTATGAAGATGTTTAACTTAAAGATCAACCAAACTGAGAATGAGGCATTGAGACAGGTTCAGACAGACAGAAAGCTCAACAGATATGTGTTTAAGAGCCTATAGGTTTAAGAAAGGAAGAGAAACAAAGTAGGCAAAGGCATAAGCCAATTTCCCAGTTTTCAAGAGCCGTTGTCCTCATAGGTCCCATTCTGAAGAGAGAATTTGTTTACCCTCCCAACTATTCTGATTCTCGCCACTAGTGGTGAGACAAGTCAGTAACAAAAGCTCAAGCCAGTTACTCTGGAAAAGGAAGCTTTAGTCTAGGGTTAAGGCAGCTCAAGAGGATCAGAGCTGAATCAGACACACTTATCACAGATGGGTAATGATTCGCTTCTAAACGCAGTTTTCACTATAACTTACTGAAAGTGCAAATGTGAGGACTTTCTGAATCAGGTCAGGCAAAGGAGTAGCCCCAAGGACTCTTTCAATTCGGTTTTTCTCTTCTTGCATATCTGCTTGTTTATGAAGCTACAGGAAAAAAGATAAAGATAGGAACAGTTAACTCTCCCCTGAATGTTCTGCATATGATTATATGAGCTTCTTCCCCAATAAGGTAAAACTTAGGTTCTATTTTCTCACTAGGTAAGAATGGCAAGGTATTACATTAACAAAAGAGAATACTTTTCAAGATGGTTTGTGCTGGGTGTGGTGGCTCACACCTCTAATACCAGCACTTCAAGAGGCTAAGGAGGGCAGATAACCTGAGGTCAGGAGTTCAAGATCACCCTGGCCAACATGGTGAAACCCAGTTACTACTAAAAAAAAAAAAAAAAAAAAAATTAGCTGGGCATGGTGGCATGTACCTGTAATCCCAGCTACTTGGGAGGCCGAGGTGGGAAAATCACTTGAACCTGGGAGGCAGAAGCTGCAGTGAGCCAAGATAGTGCCATTGCCCTGCAGCCTGGGC